ATTAAAAGGGTTCCCCATCCTAGCAAAACCATGTTTTTTCTCCCCTATCCCTCTCTCCTATAGGATTTGATGCTCTTCATTGATCTCTTCTGCCTCTTCTTTTAACTCTGGTAGGATCTTGAAGCCATTGGGAGAAGTCACTTCATTTGTTGTGTTCTGAACTCTTGACTTCTCATGTTGCAGCCCCTTTGAATTGAGTTCATCAACATCTTGTTGAACATCTTGAACCTCTATTGTTTTCTTTCCATTGCCCACCTTTCTCTGTTCAAAAGTTGCCTGCGTACTCAATTTGTTCTCCATTTTCCTTGATCCTGCTTGACTCTTTCTAGAATTTTCTTTCGACATATCTCGTCACCATGTCCATAATTCTTGCAATGGCTGCATTGAGTAGACCCTCATTCATAATAAACTGGCTGCTCTACTATTGTCACTACTCATCCACCAAGTTTGCAGTTAAAGGTGGTGTCCCTGGATTTCCACACCCACAAACACTCATGCATAATTGGCTCGACCTTTATCTTTTGTCATTGAATCAGTAGCAATGGGATTCCCAATAGTGCTTGCAATGCGATTAAGTGTTTTTGGATTCCAGTACTTTAATTCCAGTCCATAAAATTGAATCTACACTGGCACATGTTTGATTTCCTTATAATTCACGCCTTTCTCCACTCTCCATGGCTTTATAATCACTGGATTTGCCCCCATATAGTTGATGGGATTTGCTTGTACTTCCTCCACCGCTTCCAAATGCTTCTGTAATAATTTTCTATTATTTTGTAAGGAGGATTTGCCCCAACACGAAACTTATGACAGGTTATTTCCAGTATTCCATTTCAGGCGTAATATCCGGCTTCCTAACCAGCATCACCTTTTTCCCATCTTGCTCCACTAGTTGCACAAATTCCAGTGAAACACCGCCCCGTCAGAATTTTTTTATCAAACGATTCCCAAACCTATTGTTGCTTCCCTTCTTCTGATTCCGCAGACAAATCAAACTTTTGTGAAAGATTCATCCCCATCAATTCACTCAACTTTTTTGCTTGTTACTCCAAGCTCTCCTCCATTCTCGAATCAGTTGGTGTTTGTAGACCCAGTCCCAGATCGACCTCTTTTCGAACCCAGACGAGCTTGCCTTGTGTAAATATGCTCCCTTTTCAGAAACAATACTCAATCCTTTTGGTGAATCCTCTGCTGCTCGCTCATCTCTTTTCTCAATTTCCACATCTTTATGTATCTTTCGGATCATCATTTTCCCCTTTGCCATGGCAAGCGCACGTTAGCATAGACGTCTAATGTGCACCGAGAGCAACCAAGAGGAATTGTCCGAGTTTTTTTTTCCAAAAAAAGGTATTTAATAATAAAAACATAATAAAAAATATTCAAAATTAATTTAATAAAATATTTTTAATTTTAAAAAATTCTTAATTAAATTTTGGTACTATTAATTCAAAAAATTAAATAAAGAAATTAAATGATACCTTTTAAAAAAAAAATAAATGATACCTAAATCTAATTTATTAACCAAACAATTCTTTTGGAATGAGCACATCGATAGTAAACATTCCATGTCATCAAACCTAACCTTATGGTGAAACCCATGAGCAAACCAAATACCCGCTTAGTTTGTATATGTCGAACATATATATTTCAAGTCTTTAGGCAAATTAAAATATCAACAAATCAACATAAATTTATTATTCATTCTTTAGCTGATTTGTTAATGGTATTTAATACCTTTTAGCTGGTATAATTCTTTCCAATTAAGTTTAGTTGCATATATTTGTCCATGAAAATATTTTATATGCGATAAAATTTATTTACAAAATTATAAGCAATCAATAAACATAATGTAGCTTATTTTTCTTAGGAGGATTATGTGCATTTAATTTTAAGTTTTTGGAATATAAGTATTAATATTTCTTTTTTAATTTTTTTTTTTACCAAAACAACGTAGTTTTGATTTTAAAAATCGGTTTTGAAGTTTGACTTTTAAAATAGCATAATAAAGTTTAATTTTTTAATAACATACTCCCTCCGTCCCATAATTATTCTCCAGTTTGAGTTTTCATTTTTTGTTCAAATTGTTCTAAAAATGAAATCTCAAACTGGACAATAATTTTGAGACAGAGGGAGTAATATTTTTTACTTTGAGTTGGAGCTTTTAAAATGTTAATTTGACTATGATTAAGAAGAACAAAAGAAATGGTAGGGTTAATGGCCCGATGGTTATAAAAATACAAACACCTAGGGTAAAAAATGCACATTTTAGATTTTGGGAAAAAAAATCAATTAAAATAATTTAAAAATTTTTTTGGAACATTATTTACTTTTTTTAAAAAAAAACTAATATGACATATGTTACTAGTTTATTAATTTATAAATTTTATTAATTGTGAGGGGTTAGCTCTTATCTTGCCTATTGGCACCTCTGGGGACTTATTATGGCTAATCTACTAATGAACCCTCGATTTCACACCCGAATTTGTTACACCGGGCTTGCCTAGGGTGGTTTACCTCCCACTGTGGTTTACAGACTTTGTAGTGGGCATGGGTTTACCTATCTCTCATGGGGTTCCAGGCGTTACCAAAAAAAAAAGTAAATAAAATTGATTGGCGAATATGCCTCCATTAACTTTATTCAAAATTGGTCAAACTAAAAATCCTTACATGGAAATTATGAAATAAGTAAAAGAGACCAAATTGTTTGAATTTGGTTCGTTTTTTTAGTGTGTGTTTTTAAATGTTTTTTATTGAAAATGTAAAAATGTATAGTGATATGCGACAGTTATTATTATATTATTGGGAAAAAATCATGGAAAAAAATGAAAAAAACAGAGAGCTATGAGACCAAACCGGTCAAGTATTAATATTATGGATCAAATTATTTTTTTTAGCCAAATGTAAAGGATCATGTGTATATTAAAATTATAGAAAAGTGCATTGAGTTTTTATATTGTTATTATTATTATTATTATTTTGGGTAGAAATACAATAGAAACAAGCTTAAGGTCAGAAAATAAGGTAGTTTCTTTTTATGATGAAAAATTAGGTGAAGAACAATAGTAGTACCACTACTATCCATATATTGGGAACAATTGTAATTGAGGATTGTTCCGAGAGGGAGAGGGAGAGAGAGATTCATAGTTATCCACAAAGATTAAAGACCAGAATTAACGATTTTACTTGGGGAAGAAGCAGAATCCGGGGAGTCGGGCCCCACATCCCCTTTATATTGTCAAGCAGTCAACCAATGACCCTAAAACAAAACCGAACCCAGAGAAGAACGTTGATCCTATTTATTTTTTCTTTTTTCAGAGTCAGCCGACGCCTTGACGCAAATGACATAAGCAGTGACAATATCATCTCTCTCTCTCCCACACACACACACACTAGCCTACACGTGGCGTACAATGATTAGACCGTTGAATCTTTCTTTTTTCTCTTTTTTCTTGTTTCAATGGCGGCTTGAGCTAAATCCTATCAGCAGCAGTCACAGGACACACAACTGTCTTTTATTTGATTTTATTATTTATTATTCATTGCACCACTATATATCGTTTTATCTCTTCTTTTATTTTCTTCTTTTACTAATACCACCACTGAAAAGTCTATAATCTAATTTTTGATAAAACTCCCGAATTCTTCTAATCAATCGTGGTCAACAAAACGGTTTCATTTTTTTTCATCAACTATAATAAAAAATAATATTTCCTCCGTTCCATAATTATTGTCTAATTTGTGTTTTCATTTTTAGTACAAATTGAACTAAAAATGAAAAATCAAATTGGACAATAATTTTAGGACAGAGGGAGTAGTAGTTTGTCCTCACTTACAGAGTTTATATAATTTTACACCTAATTTCTTTATAATTAATTGTACCAATTGTACCTCTAAAACTTTTATTAATATGAGATGTATAATCCAGGAATGTAATGAATTATGTGGAGATTAAATATAAGTTGAAATGGAGATTGATCGTATATTAGATTAGGGGATAGTGAAAACATTCGTTGACACGTATAGAGATGATTCGATAAACTATGGCTAACCGCCAGTACAAATGAACACAATAGTAAAAACAATATCGGTATTATAAAAGTATAACTTTATAAATTTTTAAGTCAACCCTATCGAAGTATAAATATTATATTCACAAATTTGCAATCGTGCCCCTACTATGTAGTATGTATCCTATTAAAAACTACGAATTATGATGATATTTTAATCAAATTCATATTAACTTTTATAAAATTATATTATTTTTCACAGACATAGAGAGTAAAACTCAAAAATTAAAAATAAAAAGACGATACATGCATATTGCTACACTCTGGTAGCTATTAATATACGAGCCACTTTGAACAATTCATAAAATTTTTAAGGTGTAGTACTGATACTTTAAAGACAGAAGGAGTGTTATTTTGTGTGATTCCGAAGGGAAGAAAATAACTAAAAAATGTTGAAAAGTATCCAACAGATGAAATCAATGTGAAGGAAATTGTTAGGATTTCACTTATTTCAGTATTTTGAGTGACATTGATGTGTGTTATTATTTGGGTATTTGTAGATACGACCGGTCCAACCACATCCCACACGTGCCTAAAATAACATTTTTCTCTGCTGAGTGCTGATTGGCTCCATCTGGGTTCATCCCCCTTTCTTCCTCCTCCTCGCATATATATATGCCGCTTTCCTTCCTCCCCAATCTTCCATATCTCTTCAACTCGCAGTATCAACAACAATTCAGGTGTACTGAAATTCCACAAGGCAGACTATTATTATTGTACACAAGAACCACCAACTCAACCGAGATAGAAAACGACCCAATTAGAGAGAAGAAGAAGGGGTCTGCGTGAGTAAATTTGGAGAATATGGAAAGCGGCGGTGCGATGACGAGATATTCAATGGATGGCGGCGCTGCTGATGACAATAGCAAAGGAGGAGGCTTGGATTTGCCGCCGGGTTTCAGATTTCACCCCACTGATGAGGAGCTTGTTCTGCATTACTTGTGCCGGAAGTGCGCCGCCCAGCGTATCTCTGTCCCAATTATTGCTGAGATTGATCTCTACAAATTTGACCCTTGGGATCTTCCTGGTAATTCTTTGTTTTTTTTTTTGATTTTATAATTAAAAACCCATGTTTGATTTTCTCGAATTGGATGAGAATTTTTGAGATTTTTTGGAAATTGGTACTGATCTGGGCTGACTTCTCTGTTTTTTATTATAGGGATGGCTTTGTACGGTGAGAAGGAATGGTACTTTTTCTCTCCGAGGGACCGGAAGTATCCGAACGGGTCGCGCCCGAACAGAGCTGCGGGAACCGGTTATTGGAAAGCTACCGGAGCCGATAAGCCAATCGGGAAGCCGAAGCCACAGGGTATTAAAAAGGCGTTGGTGTTTTATGCCGGAAAAGCTCCAAAAGGAATCAAAACCAATTGGATAATGCACGAGTACCGTCTCGCTAACGTTGACAGGTCCGCTGGCAAGAAGACCAATTTGAGGGTATATTCTCTCTTTCAATTTCATGATTAGTATTTTTTATTTTTTTGGGTACTTTTTTAGGTCGAATCAAATGGTAAATACAGAGGATATTCTTTGGGCTAAAAGGGATAGTTTTTGGTTTTTGGGATCATTGACAAATTGAATAAAATTTGGTAAAGATTTTTGGGTGGTGTAGCAGTAAGTCTGATGTTTGCTTCTGGTAAAATATTGCAGCTTGATGATTGGGTATTGTGTCGAATATACAACAAAAAGGGCACTCTGGAAAGGCATGACAATGTTGATCAAGGCACAGTATATCATGACAACCTAGATCATGGTGCTGTATATTCACCAACAGAAGAAGTTGTAGACGAGAAGCCGAAAAACCTGTTTGATTTTGGACAAAATGGTTTGGTGGTACAAGGAAGGACAATGCAGCAACAACAGCAGCAGATAACAGCTGAACAAATGATGAATGACTACTTGCATTTTGAGACCTCTGATTCAGTACAACCACCAGGGTTACAACACACGGATTCGAGCGGATCCGAGCAAGTTTTGTCGCCTGATTTTGCTTATGAGAAGGAAGTCCAGAGTGCCCCTAAGTTGTGGAGCGATTTGGGAAGAGATTTGGATTACCAGTTGAATTACTTGGATGGATTTCAAGATGATCCTTTTGGTACTGCTACTAATCAAATGCAATACAGTCAGCAGTATAATCAACAGTACTACGCATTGCAGGATGAAATGTTCATGTATTTGCAGAAGCCTTTCTAAGTGACCCATGGAACAAAGGTGGAAAGATCACTTGGAGGTACTAGCCCTAGTGGCTACGCAAGACATTAAGACTTTGAATCTCTCTATTCGAAAACCATTTGTTAATGTACAGTTCCCGTAACCTACCTGTTAGCGCATCTCTTTTCTCGAGAATGAGAAACCCAAAAAAAAAAAAAAAAAAAAAAGATAAAACCAGTCCATTTTTTGTAACTATGCTGTTACAAAGTGACATTACCTAGCTTGATTGGCCAGATTGGCTTAGGTAGCGTTTTCTAGAATAGAAGCTGATTGATAGCCTCCATTCATGATGTTTGGTAACTGTCAACTTTTAGGAATATATTGAGAATTTGTGTAATTGATGATGTTTGTTCAACAAATTCAGTTCTTTGACTGGGAATTTTGGGGAAATTATTTGACCGATTTTGCTAATCAATCATCCCCAAACAAGTGTCTGAAAAGGATGTTGACCAAAAACTATTTGAGTGTGGTATTGGAACAAAACTACTTTTAATATTATTATGTTGATTTTGATGATGATTAGTTTGCTACTGTAGATAAGTATAACAAGAAATATCTTCCCTGTAAAGTCTGTTTCTAGTTGTGAGACGTTTTCCTCTCCTAACACTTTCAAGAACATTTTTAACTACTTTTTTTCTTTGTTCATTATTGTGTCAATTGAACTGACTCCTTGATGATTTTCGTTTCGTTTGTTTCGGTGTTATATTCAGTAGGATAATAGTTCACCGGACAAATATTTTTGCTCGTCCATACTTTCTGTCTATGAAGTGTTATAGTCAGTAGGTAAATAGTACACGGCAAATATTCTTGACCGTCTATACTCTCTGATGTCTGTAGTAAGAATTACTCTCTCCATTTCAATTTGTAGGTTGTTTTAGGTTTAGAAATATTTTTCAAAATATAGGTCGTTTTACAAATTCTAGACAAATTAATGACTATTTTTTCAACTTTACCCTCGATAAATGATGTTAATCTATTTTTATTTAGTCTTGTTTATAAATTCAATGTAATTAATGAGAGGTAAAATAGATATTTAACATTTAAATTAATTATTGGATGATTGTCTCCTTAATTTACGTGCCCAAGTCTAAAAAGACTTATATTTTGAAATAGAGAGAGTAATAATTTAGGAATTAATTAGTTAAGTCGAAGTAGAAATTTGAAGATGCAAAATAGATTTTAAGTTGGAGGGAACAAATAATATGTCTTCATTCTTGCCATTGCATTTCCCCGTACATTCAAAACGGCTTGAAGTCAGCAAAATTTCCTGAACTACAAAATTTGGAATGGCAACTGTTTACCCCCTTCAATTCAAAACAGAGGATGATGCTCTCTATTTACTCTTCCAAACTTCATTTGGTGGCTCTTCCAAAGTCGAGAACGCACTGCAAGAAATGACTCTAATCTTCATCGTAGAAGAAAACTTTGGCGTCTTCCCGCTGGGCTTGCCACAGTAAACTCTTCATAGAATATACATCTGGCGCAAGGCTTGAGAGATGACGACTTCCACGTCCAAGTCGCGCTCTACTGCCTGCTAACATCTGTTTCTTTGCATGCACTGCAAAATAGATCTGGCTGATGGTGCTGCAGTACTTATGCATTTTAGTGCCTCCTTGTCCATGTAAACAAAAACTCTTACAAACTGAAACACTAGTTCCCGAATTTCAGCTTTTCAGCAGGGTAAGTGCCAGTTGATTTATTTGTTTGCCCTCTTCGTGAAGCCGGCTTTGTGCCGCCAAACTGCTGCGCCTTCATTAACACCGGTGGTTTATCAATGCGCTCCTTCCCTTTCCTATAGTTTAGTAGAAGGCATCAACAACAATAACGACAGAAGCAACAAAGAAAGATGCATTAAAGATATCAATAACTAACATACAAGCTAAAGCTTAACCTATAACTAGTTCTCACCTGATATGAAGCAAGAAAAACAAAGCCCCAATGAGTGTTGTTCCAGTAACAACTGTGTTCAGTAATAAATTCCTGCGGGGATTTTCCTGCCTTGCATATCTATCGTCTATTTCATTTGAAAATTTCTCATTTGAAGTTCCAACATTGATTCCATTTCCAATATCCTGTTCAACACCACCGCAGATTATAAAACTGGATACGATATTAAATAGAATGTAAGCACAACTACTAGGGTACAAGTTCACGCACCTTATTCCCAATAGAAGACTGGTGAGCTGTTCTACTGTTGTCAGTATATGTTTGATGACCTCCACCAGTAACAATCTTCCCATTATCATTGTTGGAAATTGGTGCGTTCTCTGTTCTCGAGTCATGCTCGTTGACTGGACAAGTAAAATTATGGCTGGATATTGTACCATTTTGTAGTTCATGTGATTCTAAACACCCAGCAAGTTTTACTGGTATTACATCCTCATTTCCTAAGCTGCAAACGAGACTCCCATTTCCCTCAAGTGAACCTTTATGACAAGAAACTTTTCCTTCCATGCATATTTCATGATGGACAGAATCAAGAGAAGTATCATTACTGCTTTCGTGATTAAAGTTCGGGCTTAGATCTGAAACACATGAAACTACCTTCTTCAAGTCCAATGCCCTAGAAGACTTATGGTTTTCTGCCAGAGATGCATTCTCCATAGAGAAGACAATCCCTGGAACTAGCGAATCACCACATACATCAAGCTTTTGAGATTCCCTTATGTGTGGTTTCACAATTTCCTCAGGAAAGGAAAGGATCTTTGCGTGATTACCTTCTGTTTCAAAATGTATAGCAGAACAAGATTCTTCAACTGATTCTGTGGTTGAACATTGAGAGAAGACATCATCATGCTGACGAGAGGCCGGACTTCGATCCTCTGTGATAGAAAATTTCTCTCGACTATCAGTTTCTTTGTCATGTAGTTCGATGATGTTGTGCACGTTAACCATAGAAGAATCCCTACCATTATATTGATCATCAAAATCCATGTTAAGAGCCCGACCTAAAATGGAGCTCATACTTGCTGTTGATGATACCTCTACATCTTCCATGTCATCAAGAGACCTTTGATGAAATCCATTTGGAGAATTGGCCTGAATGGAGTCCAGTCCATGAGAATCAATACTCGAAAAGAAATCACAGACATTGTCTTCTCCACCCGGAAATAAGATGTTGCCATTATTTCCAAAGATAACAGAATCTGAAAATGCTAAGTAATCGGAAATATAATTGGCCCCAGCTAGATCATCAGAGATGTAATCTCTTAATTCTGGATCTTCATTACCTAAAACAAGGTCAACTTCGGCAAGTTCAGAGATATTTCCAGACCTATCTCTTAAGTCATTATTAGTGTGCATATCCTTATTGTCTAAATCTCCTTGGGCCTTCATGGACAAGGGATTGTTTTGAAGGCCATTTCTCAAATGCTGTCGTAAACATGGTTTTCCATTTCTGTTGTAGTTTTGCGTATCAGATTGCACTGAAACTTGGCTTGTTGTATAGTGTTTGACTGCTGAAAAAGCATCTGGCAAGTTTTCCAAATCCAAGTTTAGAGTTGAAGGATGATCAGACTTCTCTGGCGATGGCTCTATTCCAAAATAAGTGCTTTCTGCCTCATCAGACTCCTCAGAACAAGAATCACAGTTTCCATTTGGCGATGAAGTTAAATTTCTCTGTATTTAATAAGGAACATTTCTAGTACAGGTTAGACACTATATTATTATATAAAGAGTCCAGAGATTTAAGGCAGAGATCCAAGGAAAATGGTCAACCTGTTGGGTTCTGGAACTTGTTTGTTTATAGGAATTGTTACTAGAACAACAACTTGAAACACTGCACTGTGAGGATTCTAAGCTTCTTCTAATGTATCCTACCATCTCAGTTGGCATGGCCACTGCATAAGTGACTGAATCAAAGTCGGGAACCTGCATAAACCATTTAGATTATGCATCTCTAACTCTCGAGTTTTTTCATCAAGTTCATTAAGTAAAATTTCTATCATCCTAAGAGAATGAAATTGCAATATGAAAGAGGACTATGTGGAAGTTCCTTACATATAAATGCTTTGATCGAGCCTTTTTTGAGATTGCCCTTATGCAAATGCATACTTTCCTAGTATTTCTTTTCTCAACAACATCTGATGGTGAGAAGAGATCAATACCATTCAGACCCAAGATTTTGCAAACCTGAAAATAGAGAAAAATAAAAGAAAAGAAAATGACTTATTTTAGTGTAGATCTAGAGGTTTGGCATTTCTAAGTTCTTTATCAATTACTTGACAACCTCCAGAGTTTAGAAGAGGGAAACAAAAAGACAATGTTGACAACAATAGAACAATTTGATGATTCAATTATAACCACAAGCCAAAAACACTTGTCATCATTGTAAAATAATTCAGTATATGGAAAACAATCAGTGATCAAAGAAAGATCGCAGGGAAAAGCTAAAAGTCTAGCTTTCTTTCTAAGGGTCCAAAGGCCAGTGAACAAATATCTGGACATTATGTTCCAAGTGTTTCACTTTTAATTTAGAATGAAAATTCAGTTAATCTGCAAACATCGAAGGACTATTTAGCCAACTAAAGTGACGAATTGATTGCAGTCTCTATCATTCAAAAACTTAATATAGATTGACCGTACCTTAAGAAATGAGTCCACATTAGAGTAAGGCTTATATCTCCCACTGCTCTTCTTTGAACCAAGAGGGCTTTGGTAAGCTTTTATTTTTCTAAGCTCCACGCACTTCTCCAACAATAAACTCCATACAGTCTTAGAAACTTCGAACCTATATATCTAAACAAATGTTAGTAGCTTGACACAAGTTAACTTTCATCATTATTCATTAACGCATAAGAATATAATTGACACTTTAGGCACTCAAAGTTATGTAGAAGATTTTCAGCATGAATAGAAGTTACAATGGTAGGAATACGGAAAATTGTTTGAAGGAAAGTTCTTTTAAAGTTTCCAAGGTTTTGAGACGATGAATCTGGTGTCAATATGTCTTCAGTTGACTTTAATACAACTTTCAAGTGTTAAAAAAAGAAATGTGGTGCTTTTGTAAAAATCCGGAGAAAATGCAAAAGCTGAAAGGCTTTGCTCTTGCATTGTCAAATCATTACAGATGGATCCAGTATCGGATGTAGAAAAGCTAAATGGCACTAAAAAATACCGAATTCTATCTTCAACCAAGAATGACTGAATATTACCCAAACATTAACACTACCAATAAAAGCCTAAAAAATATTGATGGCTTAAGCAGTTGTCAACGTGTTACACATTACAACTCAAAAGATATTGGACACACTACATAGCGAACTGACGCCTTCCATAGTAAGTTTTATCAGCTTCACCGATGCTATAGGAAAAATGCGTGTCTTAAGGAAAAGTTCAAAAACTGTCTTTGCCATTAGTGGGAATGAAATCAGACGGGAATTCAACTCCTCCGTCAACATCTCCCCTTTCATTGGCCTTAATTGGCAAACAACCGATTTGATTCTATCAAGTGCTGCCAAAGTGTACTTTTCAATCTCATATCCCCCTGCTATACTAGAAAATATGTAAGAAAAAATAAAAATAAAAATCCTTTCTTAATATACAAACATCTAATTTGATATCACTATCATGGGGTGTAAGATGGTATGAAATGCACATTTGTCTCCAATCAGACACAAGCACGAGCAGCGACACAACTGCTAAACAAATAGAACTGTCAATGAACGAAGCTTGTTCATCCCATATTTGCCCATGTTAACTTCTTCCATTATTGTACCAAGTTCAAACTCGTTGCAACCAATAGGGAATATGACAGCGTCAATTAAGATCTGTTTTTTGCTTTTATGATGTCCTCATTTTACCTTCTACTCCCAGGATCCCATCCCTGTTATTTTAGCATCTCAAGTTACCAGGGTTTAGAACTGTGTTCTAGTTGCGTAATGCACTTAAGAGATACTGAGCTTGCATTGTTTTCTGTGTGAAACAGACACTTTAAGTTGAGCACCTCAACACCGAAATGAGCTTGGAACACTTTTCCTTTATCAAAAGAAGGAACACAGAACAACCATACATATCCAGACGTCATGTCTTTGACCAAATTGTTGAGTTAGAAAGTTTAAAAAGCAAGAAGAAATTCTTCCACACTCATTAATGTGTTCCAAAATATGAGCCCTTTCCTTCCAGATGAGAGACTTTTCTTGAAATAATTACAACTACACAAATGAAATAAGCTATCACAGCCTTATTTTAACTTATATTTTCACATAAAAAATCATGACAACAATGTCGTAATATTACTTCATTTGGAAAGAAAACAAAAAAAAAAAAAAAAAGAAGAGAAGAAAACAGAAATCTTGTTGGATTGAAGGGATCATAGATACTTTTTATTTATATGTTACACCAGTGTCCAGAGCCGCCACTCTAATGAGGATTAGAGCCGGGCAGGTTCCTTTCACAGGCTAAAACCCTCCCTACCAACAGCAGTTGTACAATACTTTTCATTATGCAAAAAACATCATGACCCCTTTTGAGCTCATTGTATTTTATTCATTTCTTTATGCTGGAGATAGATTCACACAAAAAGAAACAGCTGAAAAATTCAAAAGGAGACTACTTTACACAAGACATTCAATTCCAACTGAAATAAAGTAATTTATCAATCTATAATCCCCCACAAAGTCCCAATTTTTTTTGTATATAGAAAACAAAGAGACAGAGAAAGAAAACTCACAGCAGCTCCCCATCAGCAAGCAAATCAGAAAGATTGAGTTGTTCATCCAATCTGATCTTCAGAACTTCGCCTAACCATATCCTCGTTTGTGTCTGTAGATTTCAGTTAATTAACTTAATCATCATCACTTCAATCTAATTTTTCTTTTCTCTTACTTTGCTAAAATTAAGAAGCAAATTAAACTGAAAAACTAGCAAATAAGTAAATCGGACCTGCAAGAAGACATCATCCAGCTCTCGGAAGCTGGTTTCCGTCGAAGAAGAAGGAGAGGAAACACCGGTAGTGACCACCGTAGCAACTGAGCTCCGGCGGCCCATGAAAAATTTCCCGCCACGGAAGAAACCCAAAAAAGTTTGTACCAAAACAAAAAGAAACCCAAAAGAGTTTTTTTTGAAGAGGGAAAATGAATTGGGGGGAACACGATGAACGTGCGACGGAATATACAAGTAACAACAATTGATTTTTTGAGACTGAGCTTTGAGTTTGATTTAACTGTGCTTTTTAAATTGTTTTTTGTGTCAGATTGTAATAAATGTTGAAATTTAATTCAATGCTTCATTTTAATTCAAAGTTCCATTTCAAAAAATATACTACTAGCTTATTTTACACTCTTATTACTGTATTCAAATTCAAAAAAATACTAGTACTTGGGAACTGTTCCTCCATAGAGACTGGAGAAAATCAAACGCAAGCAGACAAGATAAGCATAGAAACTGGTGAGTAATATACATACACGCAATCAATACGGGCGTTCGCCCGTAAACGCGGGCTGTCCATTTTTGTAAACGCGGGCTGTCCAATTCTTATTTTTGTTTTACTAGGATGAAGGATCTCTCTCGGTCAAAAAAAAAAAAAAAAAGAAGTCTACCTTCAGTTTTGAGTAGGAAGCTTTATTGATCACAACCCATGCTCGTTGTATTTCAAAATAATCTACACAAATTCGGATGATCACAACATTATTGATTTAGAGAATTTTATTGTAACATAAGCGTGATAATTATTTTGAAACAAAAAAAAAATCTTAGTATAAAATGCATTTGATGTCTGAAAGTATCACCCCAATAGACACGGGTTCCAACGAATAAAACAAAAGAAAAATTAAATCAAGACATAATTAGTAATTGTAAAATTTTATTTTATTTTATTACTTTCACCATAACAAATTGTTCAATCTCGCATTGAAAAGTTTTTTTTTTTAAATAGTACATGTATTAATTCAAAGCATTTATGCTATTACATCGCATTTTTACATACGCTATAATTTTATTATATGGTGTTGATAAGTTGTTCGTCCTGCAATGCAATATCACTAGGTTTGGACATAATTCAATTTATAAGTATTTTTATACACAAACAGATAAGTACAAATTGGGGAAATCGAGCCCCGAGAATTTGGAATTTTCATTCATTGGATCAATACATAATCTTAAATAATTCGTATTTTTTACTAACTTAACTGAGAGTTGACTTAATTGTTAGAAAATCATGTTCAATATGTAAAAATAAAAAAATTAATAATTCTTATTTTATTAAACTTAACTGAGAGTTGACTAACTAGTTAAAAATTGTGTTCAATCCTATCATTCCAATCTTAAGCCTCATCATACTTCATTTATCACAATTTTAACGCCACAATTATATTTAATTATTGCTACTAGTGCTTACTCCGCACATTGTGCGGGTTGTGATAATGATTTATTACTATTGACACTTTTATGACAACAAGAAAAAAGAAGTCAGAGCTAATCCTTTTGTTTTCTTTTTTTTTTAATATTCCTGAGTTATTACACAAGAAAACTATTTTAAAAATGTGAATCTACTAACATCATAGTTCCTAATGTACATACTTTGGTCCTTTTCAAAAGAGTATCGTTGCAAAATATATACTTGGGGTGGATATAATTACCTCATACAACGTATAAGTTGTATTACCTGTGTGAAAAATATATCTTGGACAAGAGAAGTGTATATTTAGAAAAATTAAGTTGATAAATTTTAATTTTGGTAGAGAAATATGGGTAACTACGAAGTCATTCTAAGTGGGACATAACATATATACTCACATTAGTTGAGCATATAGATTGTTGGAAATATAGTTATTTATAGGTGTGAATGAGAAATGTGTTTCTCATATAATTGGAATTAGAGTCTAAGCTAGTTGTTGTTTGACTCGTGCGTAGGTGTAACCTACGCACACGAATGTCGAACTGTAATTTGCGGACCTGATCAACCCGTGTATTACAATGGTTAGAAACTTCCAATGCAATTTTTAGAGAGGTTGTGACCGGCATTAAAAGGGTCATTATTCTCATCAGTTTTTTCTTTCATGAATTGGTGAATAATGAGAATAATAAGTTGACTATTTTTATGACGTTTAATGTGGATTAAATTTGTTGTAATTAATTAATTTAATTTGACAAATAAATCCAACGTTTAGTAACCTTTCTTTGGTACTTATAAGTGATAGAAAATATCCATGAATTCTATGACCAAGTAAAATGACCCATCTTTCTCGATTCTTCCACATGCCAAAATCTTGCTAACTTTCCTTGGTTTTCATCAAAGTTTTAGTTCCAGTTCGTCGATGATTTAGTCTAAGTGCAAGACTAGATCATGTTCTCCATTGTATCCTTTAGACGCTCTTCCATCCCTAGCACTCAATGAGAGGGAGCGAATCTGTTTTAAGAAAAACGTGTTTTCACGTGCCTTGGAATTTCTTCTTCCTTGAATTCTTGTTGTCATTACAAATATCTCCTTATACACTTTTAACAACAATCTTAAAACAGATCTGATAGATTTGAAATGCCAAAGAAAATGCCGTCCGTAGACCTACTTATCATCTTGGAGAAAGTGTCAAAACTAAATCTTCGCAGAGAAACGAAAGGACGTGAAAATGGAAGATTATATTCTATTGTCGACTTGTCTGTCGATGTAATCGACTCGACGATTGGACGAAGATGAACCGAATGGCATGTTGACTGATGTCGACTACCTTGTCGAGTTTTTATTGGTCAACGATTGAGTCGACAAAACCTGGGCAGAAATATCTTTGGTTGGAATAAATTGACGATTGTATTTTTTTAATCCAGGAAAATAGAAGAAGGAAATGTGCACATATTTGGAATTTCTATCAGGGAGGATACTCTAAGGACATGAGTGGTGGAAGAATGGATCCATATATTCATGACACTAATTGAAGTAAGTCAATTTAAAGAAATCTTGCCATCTTTGAGAAAGTATGTTTATGATCTTTCTAGAATGTGTGATTATGATCATGATACTTAGTTGATTTCTATTGAATTTCACTTTTAAAGATCAAATGCGATTTGTGGATTAAATTAAGGAGACAAATGGATTACTTGTTCATATAATTTTATGGATAAGTAAGGCTGAAAATTTAAAGAGTAGAAATTCTTTGAAGGTGAATCAAGTATGTTTCATTCTTGTATGAATAAAAGGAAAAACTTGAGCCATTCGTGGCTATTCTTTGTTTGAAATGGAAATGCAGAAATATTAATGCATTAACGTTTGCATGATTAATTTTGTAAATGCATTTGTTAATTACTCGCACTTGAATTGAAAAAAAAAAGAAAAAAAAATATGTTTGTTTTAATGCATAAAATTTTAAGTGTTTAGAATTGATACTGGAAAAACGATGTTTGAAGGTTTTGATTGGGCTATATATTTGTACTTTATTAAAATTATATATATTTGCCCATGATGACTTGTGGTATGCTGAATAACACTTGGTCAACTTTATTTTGAAACAAACAACATTTACTATGACATTAAAGCAATGAGTAAATGATTAATTTGAAATTAAGTGCTATTACCAACTGCATGCATATATATGAATCATGAATTGAATCATAGTTAACTTGCGTGCATATATATGGTTCTATGTATGGGTTTTCTCTTATGCACCAACTGCATGCAATTAGGGCAATACATGTTCTATGTGAAAGAGCATAACTACATGTGCATGGAAGTGTTTTATATTTTGGTGAATCTGTTTTGGTTTACAAATGCTAAGTTTTGGAGGTTACTTAAAGACATGATTAATTGTAAAATCATGATGATTTGGTGTATTATCAAGCATGAAGAAATGCATAAAGTAAGATTCCAAAACGTGGTGCGTGCATGATATTTGAATCCCATGGAAATTTCTTCATTTGACATGAAAGATTTTCGAAAGAGCAATGATTCTCTATTTTGTGGGTGGATATTGATCCTTTGGTTCAGTTCAATTTGCGAAAAATGGACAAAATTATTAATTCTATGCGTGGAAAGGGATTAACATGGTGTTTCCCATTGAGTTATATCTATTGGATATAGAACTCTTAAAGATTTGTTCCCTATAAATAGAAATCGAGATTGAAAATCTATTCGGTAAAAGAATTTCGACATTGAGAAAGTGGTACAAGTGGTGAGTGAGGCACCAATAAGTGACTTCTTTGCACATCATAGTATTGACTATGAAGTGACTACCATGTATTTACACAAATCCAATTGGGATTATGGACCGAAATGTCACACGATAATGAGAAGATAAATGCGATTGTCTAACTTGGGTATAATCTCCCGAATGTGGGGGGAGTTTCTTGTCAAGTGATTACCTTGTTAAGGTATCTTGAAAGAAATAGCAACCACCCTATAAACACTTGCGAGTGTGGGGGTCTTGTATGAGTAATGCAATCGAACACTTGCGAGTGTTAAAGTATTTTGGTGGCGATACTTGCACCAAAGACAATAAAGATAAATCCTACTACGTTGGATTGAATCTTTATGAGTACATGATAGTACCATGTAATTGTTCTTTGTGTATAATTTGAAATTTTCAAATTTACAAAAGAACATTATGGTGTGATAAAATAATATGTAATTCTTTTGAAAGGGGAATGGTTCAAGTTGTTGAACCTAGATATGGTTAGTTAATTACAACTAAATTGAAATCATGTATAAATGATTTGAATCCCATATGTGGGAAATGAATCACGAGTTTATGTTAGTGGTTCTTGTGATAGATCTTTATGGAAAAGTCATAAAGAGTTTGTAGATTCGATTTTCAAGAATCATACTTGAGAGTAAGAGAATTCTCGACAAGTAGTTAAAGTAACTAAACATTGAGTTTGATTCTAGAGTTTCTAGAACAATATTAGATGGCACTCTTTGTTTATCCTAGTTATGTGGAAAGAGTACTACTTAAGTGGAATACGCAAGGATAATTGAAAGATTAATGCTTCTAACGATTTTCACTATACCAGATAAATGCTTATGGAGTAAGCAAATGAAGTGCATACACGAGTAATTAAAGACTAAGGCACTTGATTGCCATTGTAGAGTACTAAAGTGCTTACGATTTACTCGTGATGTTGAGTTGCATCATACTAGATATCCAGCGCTAGAAGGCTACTCAAATACAAATTGATATTGGATGTTGATGACTCAAAATGCACTATTGGCTAGTTATGTGAATGCTAGCCTAGACATATATGTCTTGAAGATCCCTAAACTAGATTATGATAGCCAAGTCCACTACATCCGAATTGTATATATCGGATAGTCGTGAGACAGAGGCCAAATGATATTGCTAGTTTTGAATAATATTTCAAAATAGGGATAATGTGCCACTAATCTATTTATCATAGATGTGGAATGACACATGGTCAATTGTATAATGAT